GCAATATTCGTCGGGACAGGGTGCCACCTTTCAAAGTGCAGCCTATGAACTGGACAAAAGCCCTTTATATGGTGCTGTGTCCTCAAAGTAGAAGAATCCATGGGTCTGGGTGCTGAAGTGAGGGTAGGCCTCACCTACCACTGCTACCAACGACCCTCCAGGGGCCTTGGTGCTTCCAGTACCGTCCACTCCAGGCTCTGCAGAGTTAGAGGTCTTGAACTCCAAAAGGGACACACTTTTCACTGGGACAGAGCATCTTCGACTTAATTATAAGAAGCCCATGACCGACCTGGGGACTGTGCGCCTGTACCCAGGGACCATCAGGTGAGCGAAGCCGTGGTCTCTGCAGGGGTGTCTGACACACCATGGGGAGAACAGGCTGCTTCTACAGCTGGGCCAGGAGGAGTCTGAGTGGACTCGGGTGACCCACCGAGGGGCTTCTTGGGGCTCCCTTGCCCACTTGTGACGGTACCTGGAGAAACTCAGCAGCTGGGATCTGAGAAGGGCACGGTGACCAGGCCTCAGACGCCCCCTCAGATTCTCGAGGATCTGGCTCATGCTGACACCAGCATGGGTGGTAGCTGTGTGAGAATCTGGAATGGGTAACAGATGAGAGGAAACAACTGCAACAGGAGAGCTGTAGTTTGTCTTGATCTCCCTTTTGTTCGTCTCTCTTTAGACACACCCAGCACTGGGAAGGGATGCTCTGTGCAGTCATGGAGATGCACCACCCAGGTCCCTCTTCAGGGAACGACCTTCTGCCCAGCAGCAGGGACGCCTCCCCCCTCGCCAGTGCGTCCAGAGTTGGCCTCAGGGGGAAAAGAGCTGCTTCACCTGAGATCACTCCCTTCCCAGGGCAGCCTGCCTCTGCTGACTGACCACTCAGGGCTGTAAGGGCCTGAGCATCCTGGCCAAATGTGAGACGCTCTTACAAGTGATGCTTGCTTCAGCGCCCCCACTGTCCTGGCCGAGGTCTCCACAACCTACAGTGCAGGGTCACTTCTTCCTCTAACCAATCCTTTCCTTTTTATTCTCCCATCACATCATGTTGATCCTCAATAAACATCTCGCACCCCAAACTTCATCTCAGTATCTGCTTCCAGAAGCCCCAACTTACAACATGGCCTGACCTCGCTGTTAGTTGGGTTGTAACAAACACAACTTGAAGCAGCTGAAGCAAACATGGGGATTTATTAGAAGGATGTTTGGGATATCTCACAGAACAATCCAACAACCAAGGCAGGAAAAAGGGCAGAGATGAACCCGGACATCAAGACAAGAACCAGATCCTGGGGCGCAGCCAGGGTGCTCATGACTTTGCTTCCATGGTGGCTTCACTCTTCTCTCTCATTGCAGACTACACTTCCCCATGTGGTAGAAAACACAGCCACTGACACCACCCACATTTATGTACTAAAGCTTCAGTTGCTAAAATTATACAGACAAACAAGATAGTCCCAGCTTTCCAGAAGCTTTCTAATGGAAAAGATAAAACATGCAATGATAATATCACCAGTGACAAATACATGTACAGGTTCACATATGCTGAATAGGCATTAACAAGTAACAAGGGCATTTCGCTGGCAGTAGATTTGCAAAAAGCATATGATGAGATTGTAGAAATCTCAAGGAACTGCGAGTAGTTCAAGAAAGCCAAAAAACTACTGTGTAAGAGGAAAGATAAAGTATTCAGAAATGATGCGTAAAAGTCCTCATGTACCACAGGATATTACACCTTCAGTCCACAATTAGTCACATGACACTTCAGCACAGGAGTATATAATCAGAATTGCATCTTAAAATAACTACTATGTATAAGTGTGAAAAATGGACTAAAAAAGGATGAAAGTAAAGGGGCAAAAAATATGCATACAGCTGCAAGGGTCATGGTTGAGTTAGTTTATCAGCATGTAGGCCAGGACTAGGTGCTCAACATCTGAAAGCTTGTTGGTACCATGTTTGTAGACTAACAAACTCGTTGAAATTGACATCCTGGGCATGTAGTGCTGGAATAAATGACCAAATGACTGAGGTCTCAAGTGTAGAATCCAAATGTCTATGAATGTATATTCTGCTATGTAATATAGGTATTGGTAGATAAATCTGGTATTCTTTAGGTTCATTTTATTTCAGGGCTCTACAAGTGCTGTTCTTGAAACCAAAATATCAGGAACACATGGACCCATACAGATAACTGTCAGAAGATATCAAAGCCCACAAAGAAAGGCTGAACACAAGGCAGTCCTGAGACAGGTCTCAAAACTCACAGACGGGACCTCCAGAAGATCCACTACTTAGTAGAAGGGATACAACAGAAATTGTGTTCTGCAGAATTGTCCCCAGGCCAGTGGAGGGAACTGGGTGGTGAAAGAGGAAAGGAAAGGAGATGCTCCCCATCATGTGTTCAATCTCACTGTAATTTATTGTGCTTCATGAAACTGCAAGTAAATCCAGTCTAACTTTAAAAGTGGCTTTCTTCTTGATGTGGGGTTTGTGGTAGGACTCAATGACGGGAAATGTGGAGACACACTTTTTTGTGGTTTACCAAGGTAATTTTAAAACACAACACTAAGAATCCCCAATTTCAGAATCAGAGCCCTCTTGTGACACTTCAGAAGAGAGAGCTCCCAGTGAATTCTACACAACACACCTGGGTTTCCACCTCAGGTACTTTGATAAACAAAACCTCTGCTGCCAGCATCAGCCCTCCTGATGACTAACACCAGACCCTTAGAAAACACATTTGCTCTTGGGATTCAATCAAGAGGCTAGTGCTGAAGTTCCATCAACTTGTAAAGGAAGTTGTAAGCTTAAGTACTTAATAGTTAACAGAATAATCTAGAATAGGAGTGAGCAAACTTAGAAAGTTTTTAGACAACAGACTCCTAGCTCAATCCAAGACCTAACAAATCAACCTCTAGGCTGAGGAAAGAGACCCAGGATAGATGGAAAGGAAAAAATGGAAAAAACCCACAAAGTAAAATACCACAGCATAACTACTTGTTCCCCCACCTGGTAAAATGACCTTCAGGTATTAGGGAGAAAAGTAGGAAGTCCATAAATTTGAGTATGAATAAAAATTTGGGAAATGGGACTTTTGAAAATTACCATGTGGAAAAAAAGGATTATCTGGCTGTTGAAATTCTGGAACAATGGTTCACAAAATTATTATCATTTATTAAAAGTCCCAATTTTCCAACCATGATGTAAAATTGGTAATTAGAGGGAAAAATACTGCTAGAATCAAAGGTACCATACACCACACTGATAAAACAACTTATGCATGAGAGAAGGCCTGATTTTTCCAAGTTTGGAAACAAGGCCAATCCTGGACTTTTCTGAATTTCACCATCACACAAAAAATACAGCTGACTTTGTCAAGCAACATTATAGAGAGATTACTACAAAATTCTAAATAAGCTCAGGAATAGTTCATGCATTTTCAAAAGGAACCACACTTATAGCAATGGTAACTTTCCCGTGTGCATGATGTAACAGGTGAAAGGCCAGTGAAACACAAATATTTCAAATGATGAAATAATAAAAAACCTGTTTCCTAATACTTGTCCACTAATCACAGAAATCTGCAGGAAGGCAAAATAGGCTTCCTTGAATACGTCAAAAATATACTTCTCACCACAAAATTCTCAAATAACTGGTTTCCGCATCTAATTTTTTTACAAGATATTTTACAGAACACAAAAAACATAATGGCAGCACACAGTATCCATGCTATTTCATCACAGTAAGTTAAAATACAAGTTGTACTTGGGTGACATGGCACTTACGATACCAGGGGGCACCGCACTCTGTGAGGAGAGGGTCCCACCGTTTAGGGTGAGCACAGAGCTGCAGTCCACACACCTCCTCTCCTCTGCTCACGAGTCACTCGTGCTGTTCTGCGGTTCTGCCCTTGAATACTTGTTAATCAGGTTTTATATAAACTGCTTCTCACACTCTGGGGATGCAAAATACTTTATATAATGTTGGCTTTTATTACTAAAGAGAAAGGTCAGTAACAACAATAGACCCTTTTATAAACCAACAAATCATAAGGAAAAGGAAATGTGGTGATACTACCCATGCTACTTACTGAGCAACAAGACATGTATGAGTTACCACTTTTACAGTAACATTAAAATAGAAAAACCAGTGGCATGTGGTGTGCATCAGAGGCACCACAAGGCATGTGCATCTCATGCTCCCAATTACATTACCATACGCAGTTCCTAAATACAGAACACGTTATGTGACACAGGAAAATAAGCCACAATTACATACTACTGAGAAATTTCTCATTTAGATATTCCAGTGACTCAGTTTAGTCACATATTTTTAAAAATTTCATACTTCTGCCTAAATATCATTTAGAATTGGGTATTTTTGGTATCCATGTCTATAAAGAATGCATGGCTTTCCATTATAGCATTATTTCTAGGGGCACATATTCCTAATGTTTTTAAATTGTTAGGTTTACCCACAGAATACAATATGGTGGGGTTACTTGCTGAAGATTGTCCCATATTTAGTATTTTCATTGATTTTCATTTCTGAGGGCACCTTTTTGTGTACAATGAGTTTCATTTCTTGATGAAAATATTACCTCACTTGCTGTGTTCATGAAGTTTTCCTTAACTCACTGGACTAGGATTCATTCCCAGTGGGAATGTTTCTGACAGCTAATGAGATCTGATCTCTGGAAGGCTTCCTGATATTCACAGCATTCTTCTTTGCTGTTAGTTCTCTGCTGTGTAAGGTTTGAGTATGGTTTGAAAGGTTTTTAAAATCCACTGCATTTCATAGGATCATTCTTTTCTATGCATTTTAACATGTAATAATAAACACATTAATCTGCTGAACCTCACTTAGAGTCCTTACCCTAAACGGGAACTCAGACATGTAACGTCATGCAACTATTACCTGGAAGATTTACCATAACTGCATCCTCTGAAGTACAATGCAGTTAAGATCTCTGTCAAAGACTAGTGTTAATGCCATTCCTAGGACTTCTTTACTGTATGAGTTCTCCGATGATTAATGAGCTGTGACTTTTGGGAGAAGGCTTTCCCACATTCACTGCATTGATAAGGTTTCTCTCCGGTATGAATTCTCTGATGATTAACAAGCTGTGACTTCTGAGAGAAGGCCTTCCTACATTCACTGCAACCATAGGGTTTCTCTCCTGTGTGGGTTCTCTGATGTGGTATGAGGTGCGACTTCCGAGAGAAGGCTTTGCCACAGTCACTGCACTCAAAGGGCTTCTCTCCTGTATGTGTCCTCTGATGATTGATGAGACTTGACTTCTCCCTGAAGGCTTTCCTACATTCACTGCACTCATAAGGTTTTTCTCCTGTATGAGTTCTCTGATGTCTAATTAGTTCTGATTTTTCAAAGAAAGCTTTCTGACAAAGACTGCATCCATAAGGTTTCTCTCCTGTGTGAATTCTCTGGTGAGTGTTGAGCTGTGACTTCTGAGAGAAGGCTTTTTCACAATCCCTGCATTCATAAGGTTTTTCTCCTGTGTGGGTTCTCTGATGAGTTGCCAGACTTGACTTCTCGCCAAAGGCTCTCCCACACTCACTGCATTCATAGGGTTTCTCTCCTGTGTGAGTCCTCTGATGTGAAATGAGATGTGACTTCTGACAAAAGGCTTTCCCACACTCACTGCACACATACGGTTTCTCTCCCGTATGAATTCTCTGATGATTAGTGAGGCTTAATTTTTCACTGAAAGCCTTCCCACATTCACTGCATTCATAGGGTTTTTCACCTGTGTGAGTTCTCTGATGTCTGACAAGCTGGGATTTCCTACTGAAGGCCTTCCCACATTTAGTGCATACAAAGGGTTTCTCTCCAGTGTGTGTCATCTGATGTGATAAGAGGTGTGACTTCTGGGAGAAGGCTTTCCCACACTGGACACACCCATGAGGCTTCTCTCCTGTATGGGTTCTCTGATGGTTAATGAGACTGGACCTCTCTCTGAAGGCTTTCTGACACTCACTGCATTCATAGGGTTTCTCTCCAGTATGAACTGTCTGATGTCTAATGAGCTCTGATTTCTCAAAGAAGGCTTTTCTACAATCACTACATCCATAGGGTTTTGTTCCTGTGTGGGTCCTGTGATGTGTGACGAGCTGTGATTGCGTGCTGAAGGCTTTCCCACATTCTCTGCATTCAAAAGGTTTCTCTCCTGTGTGAGTCCTCTGATGATTGATGAGATTTGACTTTTCACTAAAGGCTCTCCCACATTCAGTGCATCCATAGGGCTTCTCTCCTGTGTGTGTCCTCCAGTGTGATATGAGGTGTGACTTCCGGGAGAAGGCTTTCCCACACTCACCACATTCATACGGTTTCTCTCCTGTATGTGTCCTCTGATGGGATGTCAGCTGTGACTTCTGGGAGAAGGCTTTCCCACACTGGCTACAACTGTAAGGTTTCTCTCCTGTGTGCGTTCTGTGATGTGTAATGAACTGTGACTTCTGGGGAAAGGTTCTGCCACATTTACCACAGCCATAGGCTATTTCTCTTACGTGTCTGCTCTGATGTTTAATGAGACTTGATTTCTTACTGAAGCGTTTCCTACATTCACTGCATTCATAGAGCTTCTCCCCTAAACGGGTTCTGTGATATATGATAATCTGTGACTTCTTACAGCTAGCTTTATCATACTTATCACATTCATAGTATTTTAACCAAGTATCAGTTTCCTCAGTCTTGGTATGGAGAAACAATTTATCAAATACATTTAAGTCAGCTGGTTCTGTTTTTCCATAATCTGCTTTTGGAATAAGTAAATCTATATGATGTTTTAAAATTAACCCACCTATATCACCTTCACTGTTTGATTTCCTTAAAGGAACAAAGTTCATGCTCAGATTGAAATTTTTTCCAAGTGCATCACATTCTTGATCTTGTTTCATATTTTTAAGCTTCTCTTGGTTATCCTTGTGCCAAGTGATGTGACCATTTACTTGCAAGACTTGTTCTAGGAAAAAAAAAACCCTGTGAACCCTTCTATAGTTGTGCTTACTGAATAAAACCTAGAAATGCTATCTGAGGGAATGAGTGCCTTTTAAAGCTTAGTTTCCCAGTCTGAATACAATGTCTATCCTCTAGGTATTAAAAAAAAATTAAACGCTGTAAACAAGAACAGAAAGCATACAGTAGGTTAAGTTTGAATGGAGTCGACCACCAATTTGGGGAAACAGCTGAACAGGCCACATGGGTTCACTCCGTGGGTCCTCAGCCTCACCTGCTCCCTCAGCTACACTCAGAGGACACTGCAGCTTGGGCTGACTGTGGGGCCCACCCCAGGTGCCCACATCTCTCCACCAAGACCTTCCATGGGCTGCAAGTGCACGTCTGGGCCGTGTGCAGGGATGCTAAACACTCTGGAGCCCTAATGTTCCCTGCAGCAGTGCTCAGTCACTGAGATACAGGAGGGTTACGGTGATACCAGCTCCCTGGTCCCTCAGAGGGCTCCCAGCAGCACACCCTTTGTGCATTCCTCCCCCGCCCCATCTCAATTCCCCTTCTCCCACTAACACTGTGGGGTCACAGCCCCACTAAGTTCCTGCACTCAGATAAGTATCTCAGGGTCTGTTTTTGAGGGACCTTGAAGTAAGTCAATAGCACAGCAGGGAAAGAGGAGGGAGGTCCAGCTGATCAGAGCAATGCTGGATGCTTGGTGATGCCACATAAGACAACTTGCAAAAGGAGATGAGAACCTGGATCTATCTAGCAATTTGGGAAGTTCAAGATTAGGCCCAGTTTTAAGTGGGAATTGAGAAGTCTTTAAAAAGATGTTTTCCAAAGGGCAAAAAACTTAAATAATAAGAAAACATGTTAGGAAGAGAGAATTCCAGGTACTCCATGGTGCCTAAGCCACAGAAAAAGCACACCAGAACCTAATTTAAAAAGGGAAGATGAGACTTCCCTGGTGGCACAGTAGTTAAGAATCTGCCTGCCAGTACACGTGACACAGGTTTGAGCCCTGGTCTGGGAAGATCCCACATGCCATGGGATCAACTAAGCAACTAAGCCTGTGCGCCACAACTCCTGAGCCTTCGAGCCACAACTACTGAGCCCACATGTCACAACTACTGAAGCCTGCGCACCTAGAGCCTGTGCTCCGCAACAAGAAAAGCCACCGCAATGAGAAGCCTGCGCACCACAATGAAGAGAAGCCCTCGCTCTCCGCAACTAGAGAAAGCCCACGTGCAGCAATGAAGACCCAACGCAGCCAAAAATAAATAAATAAATTTGTTTTAAAAGTTTTAAAAATAAAAAAAAAATGATTGTGTTACATTCCTTTAAAAAAAAAAAGGGAAAAAATGGACCAATGGTTTGGGAGGAACGAAAATCCATTTTCTGACATAATGAGACTGAACAGAGAGCGCTTCATGCCAGAGATGCCCAAAGTGAGGGAAAATAAAGCCCTGATGGACAAGCACAGGTGTCTCTGATCACAGAAGGAGGGAGGACAGAAGAAGATTAACCACATCAGGGGACAGAATACCTAACGAGCAGTCAAAGTCCCATATGTGACAGATGGGGAATAACATCATGGCCCAGACCAGCTGGAAATATTTCACTTCAAGCTATGAGCAAAGAAGCCACATGTAAATGTGCTTTACCTGAATAGCTCACGTCAACTGTTCTGAATCACCATCAAAGGTTGGAGATTTTGAGAAGAGCTCTCTAAGGCACATTTCAAAGATACCGATCCCTACCCAGCTGAGACTGAACTTCCACCTTCTCCCCTCGGTCTGGTCCTCATACACTCACCTGAAGAGTCTGAACCTGGAATTTCTCCATCTCCTGTCCACGGCTCTTCTCCGTGCTCCAACTTGAGGATGACACCAGGTTTCATAACTTCATACCCTGTTAAGGGGAAATCACAAAGGCCTTGGCCCCCACTGCTTGACCTCTGGGGCCTCTGAAGAATAAGCAAGGTTTGGCATTAGTTGACCCAGTGAAGCCACCCATCTGAATACCAACAGAGTAAATAATTGTCAGAGGAAAGGTAATGGTCTCCCCAGTGGCTAATAAGGTCTAAGAATCTTTGACTTCTATAATTCAAGTTCAAACCCATAAACTGTTCAGAGACTCTGTAGCTGGTCTGCCTGGGTTCAAATTCAGCCTCTTTCATTTACTAGCTGTCAGTCCTTGCAAAAGTTACTTAACCTCCTTTGCCTCAATTTCATTAGAATAAAAAAAAGAAAACAAGGAAAGTAACACACCTGCCACATAGGACTGCTCTTATGATTAAGTGAGCCAATATATGCATGATATGTGAAATACAGTTAATTACATGCTTCAGGAGCTACCACTACCACTGTTACTATTAGCTTCAGAGGCTGCACAATGAAATTAAGACTTCATTATTGGAAGGTGAGATCCAAATACTTTCCCTGGAGTCACAGTCCAAGAACTTTGGTCTCCTAAATTTAGGTCCAAAATCATTAAAAAGTTTGGAGAGGTCCCAGAGCTCTCAGCAACTAAAAAAGAACAAGCAGGTACTAGACACAATATGAGGTCCTCTGGGCAAGTTTCCTTTTTTTCTTTCTTCTTTTTTTGGCCACACTCACGGCTTGCGGGATCTTAGTTCCCCAAACAGGAATCAAACTTTTGCCCCCTGCAGTCAAAGCACAGAGTCCTAACTGCTGGACCGCCAGGGAATTCCTAGGCAGCTTCTCTTACCTAGTGACACGAGGCTGCTATAGTTCTCCAACATGACATCCTTGTATAAGTCCTTCTGATAGGGGGCCAGTAGTTGCCATTCCTTCTGGGTGAAGTCCACAGATAAATCTTCAAATGAGAATGACCCCTGTAAGAGCACAGTCCCAGTGAATCAGAAGCAGGTATCACTAGGTGATGTGGGAAAGAAGTACCAGAGCTTGAGCACATCATTCTCACCAAGGCAAGTTACAGAATGTCTACTGGGTCCCTACTTTTGCACTCTTATTTTGTGAGATAAAATGCCATTATGCATTCTTTCATCCTTCCACTTACATGAGAACTGAAATACACGACTTTAAATCTTCCAAACCACCAACAAAATATTTACTGAACCTCAAATCTGGCACCAGAAGAGATGGCAGCGAAAGACAGATAATAAAATAGCATCCTAAGAAACTGCTCAGTTTGTAGACAGCTGCAAACATGTACACCTATAAATAAAAAAAACTGCTTTAAGAGCTGAGACAGAAAGACAGGGAGGGCATGACATGGGTCAGGAGCAGGGAGTGTGGCACTCCACCTGTGGTCACATCAGCCTCTATTGAAGAGGTGAAGCTTGAAACGAGTTTTAGGAAATTAGTAGTGCTTTCTACAGAAAAGGGGGTGCAAAAGCATTCTGAGAGACAGCAGCTCCAATATGGGGCCCTGCACTGCTGGGACTGAGGTGGTACAAACAGTTCAGTCAGACAAGGTCACAGGGCATGGGGTAGTGACTGGACTGCAGGCCACAGTGGGGGCAGGGCAGACATGGTGACCACACCACCTTCTTGCTGCTGACAGTTAGCCACTAGAGCTTTTACAGGATGGAAGTGATACAACCAAATTTAACTTTAGAAAGGTATCTGGATTTTAGATCAAAATGGATTTCTATCCCAAAGTCTCCTAAGATGACAAGAAAGCACAAACACTCTTTTAAAATCCAGAATACCATCAGAAAATAAGAAACAGCACACCACAGACTATGAGAGAGCAAGGGAATCTGAAAGACAGTCCACAGAAAGTATCCATTTTGAGCAACCAAGAGAGAAAAACTTGAGAATGGACAGAGCTCAGGTCACTGCAAGACAAAGCAAATGCATGTCATGGGAGTCCCAGAAAGAGAAAAGAAAGAGCATGGTGAAAAAAAACGTTTCAAGAAATGGGCTAAATGAGGCTAAATCCTCCCCCAAATTTGGCAAAAGATATAAGCCTGCAAATTCAACAAGCTCAGTGAACCCCCCAACTGGATAAACACAAAGAAATCCATGACCAATCACATCACAACCAAACTGCTACAAGATGAAGACAAAATCACATCACTTACAGGGAACAGTGATTCAAATGACTGCAAATGTCTTATTAAATAGCAAAGAGGCCAGAAGAAAGAGCTGAAAGGAAAGACCTGATAAGCCAGAATTCTGTAGCCAGCTTAAATATTCATCAGGAATAGTATGACAGGGACTTCCCTGGTGGTGCAGGGGTTAAGAATCCACCTGCCAATGCAAGGGATGTGGGTTCAATCCCTGGTCCAGGAAGATCCCACATGCCATGTAGCAACTAAGCCCATGCGCCACAACTACTGAGCCTGAGCTTTAGAGCCTGCAAGCCACAACTACTGAGCCCATGTGCCACAACTACTGAGCCCGTGTGCCACAACTACTGAAGCCCGAGCACCTAGAGCCAGTGCTCCACAACAAGAGAAGCCACCGCAATGAGAAGCTTGAGCTCTGCAATGAAAAGAAGCCCCCGCTTACCACAACTAGAGAAAGTCTGTGTGCAGAAACGAAGACCCAATGCAGCCAAAAATAAATAACTAAAGTAAACTAAATAAATTTATATTAAGAAAAAGGAATAGTGTGAGATAATACTTTCTTATGAAGAAAAACTAAGAGAATTCAAGGGCAGCAGACCTGCTCTAAAAGATTTACTAGTGGAAAATCTTCAGATGGACATGATACCAGAAGGCAACTTAAAAAAAATCGAGAATAGGGCTTCCCTGGTGGCGCAGTGGTTGAGAGTCCGCCTGCCGATGCAGGGGATACGGGTTCGTGCCCCGGTCTGGGAAGATCCCACATGCTGCAGAGTGGCTAGGCCCGTGAGCCATGGCCGCTGAGCCTGCGCATCCGGAGCCTGTGCTCCGCAACTGGAGAGGCCACAGCAGTGAGAAGCCCGCGTACCGCAAAAAAAAAAAAAAAAAAAAAAAATTCGAGAATGAAGAAAGAACAGAAATGGCAAATATATGGGCAAATAAAATACACTATTCTCCTCTTCAGTTCTTTAAATATGTTTCATGGTTGACAGCAAAAATCGTAATGTTTTCTGATGGAGTTTTCAGTGTATGCAGTTGTAATTGTGTAAGATGGTTACGATATAAAGGAAAGAGGGTGAGGGGCCTAGACAGTGGTGAGGTTTCTACATTCCTATTGAAGTGGCAAAATAAAATTTAAAACTTTGCACTTCAACCAACATAACTGAAAACTGAAATGACAAGCCACAGACTGAAAAAAATTATTTGTAAATCCTATTTCTGATAAAGAACTTGACCCAAGAGCTTATTTTAAAAACTCAATAATAAAAGATAAGTAACCCAGTTAAAATAATAGACAGAATATCTGAATACATTTTAATACAGAAGACACAGAAATGGCTAATATGCACATGAAATGATGACCAACATCATTACTTATTAAGGAAATGCATATTAAAACCACAATGAGGCACCACTTCATGTTCACCAGAATGACTATAATCAAAAAGACACAATAACAAGTGTTCAAAAAGTTGTGGAGAAACTGGAACTTCATACTGGGAGAAATATAAAACATTCAGACACTGGAACTGTGGCAACTTCTTTAGAAGTTAAATATAATTTTACCATAAAACCCAGCAATTACACTCTTAGGTATGTACCCAAGACAAATAAATACATGCTCATACAAAACCTTGTACATGATCCCAGAGGAGAAGAGAGAGAGGACCTGAGAAAATATTTGAAAAGATAACAGCTGAAAATGTCCCTAACCTGGGAAAAGAAACAGTCACCTAAGCCAAGAAGTGCAGAGAGTGCCATACAGGATTAACCCAAAAAGGGACACAACAAGACACACTATAATCAAACTGACAAAAAATAAAGATGAAGAGAGAATATTAAAAGCATTAAGGGAAAAGCAACAAATAACATACAAGGGAACTCCCATAAGACTATGAGCTGATTTTTCAGCAGGCCAGATTTTTCAGCAGGCCATATATGGCATGATATATTTAAAGTGATGAAAGGGAAAAACCTACAACCAAGAATACTCTACCCAGCAACACTCTTGTTCAGATTTGATGGAGAAATCAAGAGTTTCACAAACAAAAGCTAAAAGAATTCAGCCCCACCAAACCAGCTTTACAACAAATGTAAAAGGAACATCTCTAGGTGAAAAAGAAATGGTTACAACAAGAAGCAAGAAAATTATCAAACAAAAAAGCTCACCAGTAAAGGCAAACACACAGTAAAGGGAGGAAATCATCTACACACAAAGCTAGTAGGAAGGTTAAAAGACAAAAGTAGCAAAATCATTTACATCCACAACAAGCAGTTAAGGGATACATAAAACAATTAGATGTAAAATACGATATCAACAACAGTAATCGTGAGGGGAGGAGAATACAAATGCAGGGTTTTTTGTTTTGTTTTGTTTTGTGCGGTACACGGGCCTCTCACTGTTGTGGCCTCTCCCATTGTGGAGCACAGGCTCCGGACGCGCAGGCTCAGCGGCCATGGCTCACAGGCCCAGCCGCTCCGTGGCATGTGGGATCCTCCCGGACCGGGGCACGAACCTGTGTCCCCTGCATCGGCAGGCGGACTCTCAACCACTGCACCACCAGGGAAGCCCCCAAATGCAGGGTTTTTTAAATGCATTTGAAATTAAAAGATCAGCAACTTAAAACAATCACACATATATACAGTCTCATATACAAAAACCTCATGGTAACTGCAAACCAAAAAATCTATAATAGATACACACACAAAAAAGAAAAAGGAATCCAAGCATAACACTAAAGATAGTCATCAAATCACAGGAGACGAGAAAAAAAAAGGTGAAAAAAAGACCTACAAAAACAAATCCAGGGCTTCCCTGGTGGCGCAGTGCTTGAGAGTCCGCCTGCCGATGCAGGAGACGCGGGTTCGTGCCCCGTTTCGGGAAGATCCCACGTGCCGCGGAGCGGCTGGGCCCGTGAGCCATGGCCGCTGAGCCTGTGCGTCCGGAGCCTGTGCTCCGCAAATGGGAGAGGCCACAACAGTGAGTAGGCCCGCATAACGCAAGGAAAAAAAAAAAAAAAAAAACAAATCCAAAACAATTAACAAACTGGCAATAAGAGTAAACATATTGATAACTACCTTAAGTGTAAATGGACTTAATGCTCCAATCAAAAGGCACAGAGTGGCTGAATGGATAAAAAAACAAGACCCATATACATACCGTCTACAAGAGATCCACTTCAGATCTAGGGACACACACAGACTGAAAGTGAGGGGATGAAAAAAGGTATTCCACACAAATGGAAATCAAAAGAAAGCCAGAGTAGTAATACTTATATCAGACAAAATAGACTTTAAAATAAAGACTGTTACAAGAGACAAAAAAGGATACTACATCATGATCAAGGGACCAATCCAAAAAGAAGATATAACAATTGTAAATACATATGCTCCTAACATAGGAGCACCTCAATATATAATGCAAATATTAACAGACATAAAAGGAGAAATCGACAGTAACACAACAATAGTAGGGGACTTTAACAGCCCACTTACATCAATGGACAGATCATCTAGACTAAAAAAATCAATAAGGAAACACTGGCCCTAAAGAACACATTAGACCAAATGGACTTAATTGATATATACAGAGCATTCTGTTCAAAAGCAGCAGAATATACAATCTTTTCAAGAGCACATGGAACATTCTCCAGACTACATGCTAGACTTCAAAACAAGCCTGGGTAAATTTAAGAAAACTGAAATCATATCAAGCATCTTTTCCAACCACAATGTTGTTGAGACTAGAAATCAACTACAAGAAAAAAACGGCAAAAAAAACACAAGCACGTAGAGGCTAAACAACA